TTGATTATTATTTTCCGTCAGTTCACGAACAATATCCGGCCAAAGAGTCATTAATTTGTAACTTTCATCTTTGACTAATGAATCGGTATGTTGTTGTATATCATTTGATCTAAGGCAAAAAAATATTAATAACATTTTGTTCATTTTTAGATTTCACTTTTTTAATTAATAATGATTAATTGTTTAATTTTGTTGTTAATCTCGCGAAATAATATAATTTACTTTTAAACGAAAAACTTATTACTACGAGAAATAAAATTCTAAAAGCTTCGATAGATTCAAATCATATCTGATGATTTTAAAATGACACAAAAAGACATCATTTTGTTCTAATAAATTTTGAATATATTTTAATTTTTATCTCTAATTAAAAATATTTTTTGTTTATTTCAATAATATTTTACATTATATATATTAACGTTGCTAATTTTCTTGTATATTTTTTATCTTTTAAATAATTCTAGAAAAAACAAAAGACAAATATATCTCTCATATATTTAAATTGAGATCACATGACTTTCAAATAACATTTATATCAAAAGAAAATTTTTATATGGCAATTTTTATTTTGAAAATTTTTTTTTAAATAAAATTTTTTAAATTTTATATATATTTACAAAATAATCGATAGACGAACAAAATTCTGTTACTCTTTATGTCTCTTATTCTTATAAAATAATTTTCTATGAATAATATATTCGTATTCAATATTTCAAATATCATTTGTATTTGAAATATTTTTTAATTTATTCAAAAACGAAATCTCAAACAAATAAAATTCATTTACTTTTTTATATATATATAGAATAATCTTTTGCTCACTGATATCATTAGTTACATAATATTTTCGTGAATATACATATTAATATTTTGTATAAGTATAAAAAATAACGAAAATTTCATCTAAAAAAAATTTAAAAAGAATAAAATGAAATTTTAGATTAATAAATTAATTTAACCCTTTGTTCTCCAACGGTAACTCTCGGTCACCACTTGAGTTAATGTCGTAACTCCAGCGGTAACTCTTCGGCACCAGTGGGATTGTTGCGGCAACTTGAATGGCGACAATATTTATTTATGTTTGATTTTTTTAGAATATCGCTTCATAAATAGCTTCCTAAACTTTTTACGTATAATCTTATGAGGTGTAATCTTATTTTATGAGTAATTATCTTATGGTAATCTTATGAGGCCACCGAACGCACTAAACATGCGAGTCTGAATCTGGAGTTGCTAGTTCGACCGAGCGAAACAGGCCTGGAGTTAAAAGATTATATTTAGATTAATAATCTGGAAATTTTAGATAAAAATACAAAAAGATAAAAAATAATGGAATTATAGTGTACATAGTGTACATAGAAAACGTAAATATAAACAAGAAGAATCGGAAAAAAAAATTAACTTTCAATGAATTTATAAAATTTTAAAGGTGGCAGAACAAAATAATATTTATTAATAAAAATTAAATTCAATTTTTTTTTTAATCAATTTTTTTTAATCAACGAAAAAAACTGAAATATGTGTATAACAAACAAAGTAAAATTTTAAATTAAAATGTGATAATGAAAGCTGAATATTGTAAAGATTATGGATGAAATTTATTAATAACATTCCTATAAAATATAAATATATAAATATTTTAAAATAAAATTTAATCAAAAGTATTAATAATACAAAAAATAAAATAGTTTTATTAAAAAAAAAATGATCCAAAAAAAATACAAATCATCATGAAAAAAAAGATTTATTATAATTCTATATAAAGCTATCTCCCTTCTCTCAATTAGATTTAAATTTGATTACAATTTTATATTTTATATTTTACATTTTGCGTTAGTTAATTCACAATATCTATTATGTTCATAAAGATAAAAAGAATTAAAATAATTTATCAGAAAAATAAGGCTGCATTACATAAAATGATTTAAAAAAAAATTAAATATTTATAAAATAATATAAAATAATAAAATAATATAAATTAATATAAAAATTAAATATTTAAAAGAAAAATATTATTAAATATAGAAATATTCAATCAAANACATATAATTGGCAAATTTTAAATATGAAAAATAATATTTAAAATAAACTTATTTTTATCAGATAATATATATAACAGATATGTATAATAAACAAAATATCTATATAATTTTTTGATATCTTAAAGTAACTATTTTTTATTGATTTAAAATTATAATATAAATAACTTGTTAAATAGTTATTTTTTCTATTTTTTAATCTTTTAAAACTAAATATCATTACTAAATTTATCTATTATATTTTTTTTTTTATTACTTAGCAATTTTAAACATCTCAGTAAATCATTATAAAAATGTTAATAAAAATTTAAGTTAAATCAAAAATAATTATAATATAAACAGATTTGTTTATAATGACTTATAGAAAAAAAATGAATATAATGATTTATAATTAAGAAAAAATATAATGGATAAAAAATATTATTGCCTTTTTGCTTGTTATCAAATATAAAAGTTAATGCAGTGCATTGAGCATAAGTTTCAGCTTTTAATTAATTTTTAATTTAATAAAAAATTTTGTAATTATTTTTAACTTTTTTATATATAAATAAGATTATTTTTGTTTAATTTCATTAATTATTATAATTTGATTCAATAAATACTTTAAATTTTAAAATTAATTTTTAAATTAATAATAATTTTATTTTTTAAAATTAAAATTGAATTAAAATCGATCTAAAATCACATATAACATTTTTTTCACTTATCAGTTTTTATTAACAATTTGAATATTATTTGAAGTAAAATGAAATTTTTATAATTCAATAATATCA